TCATATGGAACAACAAACAAAAGACACCAGATAGCCAAAGCAATCCTGGGGGGGGGGGAAGGGGGGGGGGGGGAGCCAGAGGCATTACATTACCTGACTTCAGATTATCCTACAAACCTATAGTAATCAAAACAGCATGATACTGGTATAAAAACAGATACACAGAAAAGAAACAGAGAATCCAGAAATCAATCTGTGTAATTATAGCCAACCAATCTTCAACAAAGGCACTAAGAACATACTTTAGGGAAAGGACAGCTCTTCAATAAATGTTGCTGGGGAAACTGGATATCCACACATAGAAGAATAAATCTAGAAGTGTACCTCTTGCCATATACCAAAATCGACTCAAAATGGATTGAACAAGAATACCACAGATGTTAAAAAAAGTGGATTAAAGACTTAAAAATATAAGACCTGAAACTATAAACTCCTAGAAGAAAACAAAGGGGAAACACTTCAGGATGAAGGACTGGGCAAAGACTTTATGAATAAGATCCCAAAAGCACAGGCAACAGAAGAAAAACAAATGGGATTATATCAAACTAAAAAGCTTCTGCACAGCAAAGGAAATAATCAACAGAGTGAAAAGACAAACTGCAGAATGGGAGCAAATATCTGCAAACTACACATCCAACGAAGGATTAATATCCAGAACATACAAGAAACTCAACAATAAATAATAATAATAATCTGATTAAAAAACAAGCAAAGGAGCTGAATAGACTTTTCTCAAAAGAAGATATACAAATGGCCAACAGGTACGTAAAAAAATACTCAACATCACTAACCGTCAGAGAAATGTAAATCAAAACAGCTGAGATATCGTCTCATCCCAGTTAGACTGGCTATTATCAAAAAGACAGAAATTAACAAATGCTGGCAAGGATGTGGAGAAAGGGGAATCCTCCTACACTGTTGGTTGGGCTGTAAATTAGCACAGCTATAATGGAAAACAGTACAGAGTTTCCTCAAACAACTATAGATATAACTACCATACAATCCAGCAATCCCATTACTGGGTATATACCCAAAGGAATGGAAATTGTCACTTTGAAAGTATTCTTGCACTCCCATATTTATCACAGCTCTACTTACGATACCCAATTATGGAATCAACTTAAATGACCATGATTGACTGGAAAAGGAAAATGTGGTGTATATATATGTGTATATATATATATATATATATATATATATATACATACACACACACACAATGGAATACTACTCAGCCATAAAAAAGAAGGAAATTCTGCCATTCATAGCAATATGGATGAGTATAGAGAAAATTACATTAAGTGGAATAAGCCAAGCCCAGAAAGAGAAAAACTGTATGTTCTTACTCATAAGTGGGAGGAAGGGAGGAAGGGAGGAAACAAATAACAATCACAACAATACTTGAACTTTCAGAAGGAGAGAAGAGAACTTGTCAGCAGAGGTGGGAAAGGTGGAGGGGGAGATTGGTTAGCAAGAAATCGGCTAATGAACACAAAGAATGAATACGTTTTGTAATGATGAATATGCTAATTATCCTGATTTGATCATCACATACTGTACACATTTCCAATAGTCAACTCTGTACCCTACAAACATGTATAATCGTTTCAATAAAAACAAAACTTTTTAAAAAAAAATTTTAGTGGACAACCAGATTGGTGTGTTATTTTTCAGAATCACATTCTTCCTACTACCCAGAAGGGCTTAAGACATCTTTTGAATTAATACATTTAAATATAACACATACTATTTGTTTTAGTACGTTTGCGTTACTATAACAGAAATACCTGAGACTGGGTAATTTATAAGGAAAAGAGGTTTATTTGGCTTACGATTCTGGGACAGTTGCATCTGGCATGGGCCTCAGGCTGCTTCTAGGTGGAAAGTGGCAGGCAGCCGGTGGGTACAAGCAGATCACATAGCGAGAGGAAGCAAGAGAGAGAGAGAGAAGGTGCCAGGGTCTTTTTAAGCAACGAGCTCTCACGGGAACTAATAGAGTGAGAACTCACTCATTAATCCCCCGACCCCAAGGAGGAGCATTAATCTATTCATGAGGGATCCACGCCCATGACTCAATCAGTTTCCAACACTGCCACATTGGAGATCAAATTTCCACATGAGTTTTGAAGGGGACAACACATCCAAACTCCATCACTATTTAAACTGAATTCACCTAATAGTAGAAGTACTTGAAACTAGAGATGAGTATATTATGAACTGCAGTTATAAATTGGACTAAATTTTTTGCTAAACTGGAGAGACTGATGCAGTCACATAGTTTCCACTTTCTAACAAAAAGGAAGGCATACATAATTTTTTTCATAAACAATTTTCCTTATAGCTAAATTCAGCAGAAATTTGTCATAATCAATTGTGTAAAACACATTCTGTGACACATTAAACAGTATTATTAACTATTATTTTGCAGGAGATATCAAAACAAATTCACAAGACAATTTCCTAATTGAGCCTGTATATAAAAACAGAAAGCATAAAAATAAGCTACAACTTAAAGACAACATTTCTTTAAAAGGCTGAGATAATACAGTCCAAACATCGATATTTTGCTTTGCCACAGGCTAACAAAAGTAAAATCTTAAACAATCTAGAAAGACACAATCTATTAGAACCACAATAATCCACCCTAGCTGTGTATTAGAATCACCTGTGATGGAGTGTTAGCCTAGATTAAGTTTAAAATTAAGCTTTCTAACAAGTCTTTATAATGCAGCTGTTATGTATGTTCATTAAAGAGAGTGCCACAAACAAGTATGATGATTAGTGAAATCAAAGGTATGAAATAGTTTAGAAGGGTATCTTCTAATTTGCCAGGAAAGACATTTAATAAAAATTATTTTTCTACCTTCCAAAGGAGAGGAATGAAAGCTGGCATTCTCTTGTGGAAATCAGGGGGTCTTACTTACTTTTTATCCAGAGAAGATGAGGCTAATCTACTATACTCAAAATTCTTTGGAGGAGACCTTAATTTTCTCAAATTCATATGTCAGGAATAACTTTTTATTAAGAAATTAAAATACATAAACTTTAAACTCACTGGATTTTCTTTTTTTTTTTTAAGAAAATGAATGTGTATAAATAGCAGTTAGGTACATCAGTTTGTAATAATAACAGACAATGCTTACTTAGTGTAATTTCAAAAATCCAAAACAAAGGTTATTTGTAAAGGGAATATCTTAGTAATTGAAAAGAATGCATTCATCTTAGTAAGTATTGTCATTCACAAAAACGATAGAATTTTAGAGCTTCAAGGGACCCTATAGATTTTCTAGATCAACCTACTTACTTCAAAAGATGAACTAGCTAAACCAGGGACTTCAGCATGGGAGCCTCCTGACTTCCAGTACTTCTTTCTAACATACTATGCTGCCTCCTGTAGTTCTAACTCCTCTCCCTTGGATGAGAGTACTGGTTGCCTCATTTGTTTTCTTTATATTCTACTCTGAACCATAGTTGTTATTTGTAACTTTCCCATAATATTATAACTTTTCAACCTGTTTTCTGAATGAAGGATTTTACAGCTGAGCATGTAAATCCCCAGCTTTCTAAATTTTGCAGTAATCAATATGGAATTCAAAAAAATACATAAAACGAATGTACAATATACATAATCAAACACAAAGAAAAATTCTTCTCTCCTAGATAATTCAATCCACAAATTCAAAAAACCATTTATGGAACACCTATGACATGCAGGGTCTATATTAAGTGCTGGGGATATGAAGATGACGAAGATATGGTCCTTGGCCTCAACTAGCTTATAGCCTAGTAGAGAAGACAATTAAACCAACAATTACAGTGTGCTTGTTAAGGACTCTGAAAAAGGGGTGAGCAGGGAACTCTGAGTGCATATAGGAAAAGAATCGAATTTAGAATGATAGAATCAGTCAGTGGTTCCCCAATGAGGTAATGAATGCCAATATAAAAAAATGACAGTACCCCTCATAGTTAGCAGAGTCCAAAATAAATTAAAAGACAGAGCAACTTCTATTTATTCAAAGAAAAAGATGAAAATTCTGTTTTCACACAAACATTTAATCTCTAATAACTCTCTAATAACAATTAGAATATTTTTCAATGGGAAAGAACCTGATTGCACTGTGGCTGTATAACAAATACAGGTCTTCCATTATTTCTTAATAAAATTTTAAATCACTATTTTAAAGCCAAAGAAAAAGACTGCATCCAAAACATGTCTAGTTAATATTCACAACAGCTCTCTCTGCAAAGCTGCATAAACTAAAGTCCTCCTCAAAATTCCAGGATAAAATTCCCATCCATTACAAGAGAAAAGACAACCTGAAGAATCCGTAGCCCAAGAAGGAAGAAAGCTATCACTCATTTTGCTTTCTTAAACCAATCACTGGGGATAAAGAACTACTCAGATTCCTTGACACCGACTTTCAGCTGGAAGATTTAGTAAAAAGAAGCACACGGGGCATTTTTATTTACATATTTTAAGCAAAATTGGGGGGCAGGAAGAAAATCTGAGTGTAGGAGAAAGCGTGTAAAAAGATAAGGAAGGGAAGCGATGGAAAAGAGAGGAAAGGGTTGGGCAAGAACCCAACCAAAGACATAAGAAAGGATGGAAGAATAAAGATAGACTGGAGGATGGTTTTGTAAAGAGTGGTAAAGAGAGAAAGGCAGGAAATGGGCGAGAGGGGAAGAGGGGGAAGGGCTGCTCAAAAAAAACATTTGAGAGGCAATGAGAGATAAGAGAACTGGGGCTACCTCGACCGGGGAGAAAACGAGGTCGGAATACGAAAGGTAGAGGAACCGACAAAGCAGCAGCGAGTTTTAACCTCCTTTTCCTCGGCCTCTACGCCCCAGAGAGGGAGGAAGAAGTGGTTTCCACGTCCCAGGGAAGAAATTCCGGCGCAGCCTCAGGAACCAGAATCCGCGAGTGAGGCACGATGCAGCGGGTCCCCGGCCCCTCTCCATCCCCCTCGCACGCTGGGCGGGGCGCTGGGCGTTCTGGTTACCTGGACAGGGAGTCCACGCTGGGCGGCCGAGCCGCCGCCGGCTGAGAGTCGAGACTCTCGCAGCTCGAGCTCTTCTCCATGGCGCGGCGGGGACAGCGGGAGGGAAAGGCTGAAGCGACCTCCGCGGCTGCCGTGCGGGAGGAGCGGAGGGCGGAGTGCGCCGGCCAGGGGCCGCGGTCAGGCCAGCGCCGGCCTGGGAGGGAGACCGGAAGCGGCCATGTTCCCCCAGACTGCACCGCGCCTGGGGGCTGCCTGGGAGCAGGAGGACCCCGCGGCGCCCCTCAGACGCCGGGCCAGCCGCGCTGCGCTCTCTTCCTCCCCTCCGGGATGCCTTTGGGCTGGGGAAACGAGAGAGTGACGGCTCCCGGGGTGAGAGCGTCGAGTGAGCCGGGAGGGCCGAGGACCCTGGGGAAGAAGGGGGAATTTAAAAACTAAGAGGAATTAAGGGAACACAAGGGACGAGGGTCTCAGAAGAAAAGAGACAAGGATCTAAGGGCACAGGGAGAACTGAGACAGGAATGTGGGGGTCAAGGAAAATGAGAGGACAAGGTAGTGGGAGGAATGTGGGAAGGCTGTGGGATGAAGGGGCAGAAGGAAAGTGGGGGTCAGGGAGGGAGACGGAGAAAATTAAAGGATGAGGAGACCAGAGGTGAGATGGTGAAATGTTCACCAGATCGGGGACTGAAAATAATGATTATGGGGTGAGAATGTATCATGTAAAGGCTGCTGTAGAGCCACGCAGAAATGATTCAGTTCCGGCTTTGCCAGTTACCTGCAGCTTCCTTATCTGTAAAAAGGGAAGAAGAGTAACAACCACACAGATTAGATGGGTTAAAAGTGTAAAATGCTTAAAACAGTGCTTGGCATATAATGAGCCCTCCAATGTTTGCTGTTAGTATTACTATCTAGTTCATAAGGGTTGAGAGGATGAAAATGGACTAATATATGTAAACAGTTTCTAACATAAATTCAATAAATTGTAGCTGTTCTGAGGGGAAGATAGAGGAAGGGTGGCAAAGAAGTGGTTGGTTAGGGGAAGGGTAATGGGGAAAGTATAGCACAGGTGGGGAAAAAATTAATTCACATCTCTGTTTCCATTCTGCCCCTGACTCAGCATCGTAGAAAGGGCTCTGGGGAAAGACGGTGAAACTTTCAGGCCTACTGTGACTTGTGTTGAATGGGTTTGTATGGTCTGGAGTGTCTAGAGGAAAAGCACGTTGGCATTAATCCATTGTCCACAGAAAAAAGTATGGAAAAGGGATTGGGGAGGGAACTGATAAATATGCAAAAAAGAATTAGACGCATATGCTACTGGATGAGGTGGTGTTGGATAGAGGGCAAACTTTTAGCAATCTTTCCGTGCTCTCTAAAATTTTCCTGCAGGGCAGGAAGGGAGTGTGGAGAGATAGAACTGTGATAAGAGAACAGGAACTGGGTAAAGGGGAAATACTTCTGCTAGTAATGTTTTTGTTACGGTGAACACAGGAAGGACATAGAAAGGACACTATGGAGGAATTTTTCTGATCGAGTCAGAATCCCAATCACCTCATGTATAGGGTATAAAATATGCAGAGATTGTTTTTGTAAAAAATTAGACAATCTTTTTTTTAAGAAAAAAAACCTTACTAGTATAAATATAATTAAATTGATTTAAACTAGATTTAATTTATACTGTACAATTGATGTTTTTAAGAAATTCTTAAAGTATAGGGCCAATGAAATTTTAACTTGCAAGAACATTCTTCAGAAGAACAACATAGCTTAGTTGTGCTCAGCATAACCTGGAATAGTTACTAATGAATGAGTATGTGTTTAAGCACAAAAGGCTTAGCCTTTCTATTCCGTTCTTCGGCTTGGCAAGGACAGATGTCAAAAGAATTTTAAAGAGACATTAACTGTACTGCTCTTACAGTCAGAGAATAGATAGAAAAAAATCATAGAAGAACTTACTTATTGCTTGCCCATTCCTACCTGCCTTCCAAAATGCTGACTCACTGTTACCTGATATTTTGACATACTTTAAGATTTTCCCAAACTAAGTATGGTAAAGACTGATGAACTTTTGAATGGGAGACCCCACATACCTTCTCCTACCTAGTTCACTTCTAACACTGTGTCAATAGAGCACTTGAAACTTTCTGCCTGATGATGAAATAATTTGTGTATGGGTCTATCTAGTGACTAATAAAGAACAGTGCAGTTAAGTGTAGAGAATTTGGAAAAAGACAAATCTGCACTCGAATCCTGGTTCTGTCACTAAATTTGCTCCGAGATTGTGATTAAGCTGTTTCTTATTGCTTAAAAGGGAATAGAAATACCTATATTATACATTATTTTTCTCTACACGGAGTCACTTGCACAGTAGCTCTCAGGAAATAGGTCTATTGCTATTATTTGTTTTTTCTACCGAACTTACTGCTTTACCTCTAGAGTGGCAAAACAGTAACTTCTCAGTTAATAAGCAAAGAATACTTCAATCTCATATGAAAGGTAAATTAGTACTGAATTCCTGTTTTCTTTTTTGTAATCTAGGCAAGTGATTCTCAAACTAGCTGTGGGAAGGACCAGTGGTTTTGGGGGGTTTTTTGTTTTGTTTTTAATTTCTAAACCTTCACCAACCAATACTTTTCTAAAATATAAGAAAAATGAATTACTAGAAAAATGAATTTAAGAAAATCCAAAGGCATGCAAAATAAAAGGCCAAATTTTTAAAATTAGATTTAACAAATATAATATTCATGAAAGTTTCATAGAAGTTTCTAAACACTTATTCTCAATTCTGTCCTTATCTCACTATGGACTGACAACGGTTTGTGTATGGTTAGTGATTGGCACACCACAATCTGAATAGCACTGATTTGGACCTATAGGTCTGTTACCCATCAGATTATCAAAGGCAGCTTATTAAATGATCTGAATCAGAATAAGGAAATAAACTTTTAAGATAGTAAAATGGTGGGTTATGAATGGACAGGAAGAGGAATACTTTTGCTTCTCTTAAAACACATAAGCCAGAAACATTATCCCTATAATTAATTATCTATATCCAAAAATTTAATTTTTTGATTTCTGTGGTTTGGGGAATTCCACTTCTAGTATGGAGGAGAAAGATCCTAAGACTGACCTTTCTGCTGCACATAACAACTGTAAACTCTAGATGAAATACCAAAAAAAAAAAAAAAAAAAAATGACTATTTGAGGGGTCA